TTTGGATACCGAAATCTCAGTTTAAAATATTGTAGCAGACTTTTAATAGAGTTTATTTAAGGTTCCTTATTTACTATGAATTCTCGTTATCTGTGTTCTTTCTTTGAGTCATATAAATACCACTTAAAACTTAAGTATCCACTAGGGTTAATGAAGTGGCATACTCCAAAGCAGCTCCGGAGACCCAACCCAAGTTCGAGCAACTCTAAGAAAATCTGGAGTGGCTCCGGATGGGTTTAGAAATAGCTCAACCCAATCCAATTCAACCCTTGTAGCCACCTCTATAGTTGAATATTTGTAAGAACAAACTAATTTTTTAGCAATTATTATAAATTTATTTTCATTGGCTTTGGTCTTCTATTAAGACATGAAATATCAAACTTTATTTGAATACTAGACAATTGTGAATATCATTATAGATATTGAAAATTTAAATATCATAAAAAACAAATAATACTCGAAGTACTCAAATTCTAACAGAAAAAAATTAAACTTGACAATAAATTAGATCCTCATATTTCGATTGAGGATTAAATTGCTTGTCATTTTAAAAATATTAAAGTATATGCTGTATCTGCAAAATACGATGACTCTAAAAAAACCGTCATTGAAAAACCTTATTGCCCAAATGGATTTGCTGCTGCTATTCTTCATGCTTATAACTATCATAAACATTTACGTCTAAGTCCTGATGATGTTTGGCTTACAATTTCTCAAGATGTTAGTCATCATATTAATTATAATTAGTTTCTAAAAATATATTCAAATGTTGTAAATACTGTATTAATTTTAAATTTTTAAATATCAGAATAGCACCCTTTTAGTACATTGGTTGATTTGTCAGGGAGAGACACTGCGATGTAGACTTTTTTGCCTTTGTGCAATATATGAAATACTACTATAAAGGTTAGATATAGTTCGATTGCGAAATCCATGTTCATAAACCCCAGAATCACACATACTCTGAAACATCCTAAGTCCAGGTCCGATCCTCGGTCTTGGATTCAGTTTTATATGATTTAGATCCTGCATCAGAACTGAATTCATCAAATAAGTTCATTCAATCAAATTAATTTTGTAATAATTAAATTCTGACTCTAACGCTAAGTCTTATAAAATGTATTGTGTTTTATTTAAGGATCGAGACCCTATCAATCCTTGAAGGATCCCAAAGGACTGATTAACATCTCTATCACGGGATTAATGAATAATACAGTATCCTTATCCGTATGTAAGCAGAAACTTCAATCAAGATATTATTATTACTAGTCCAGGATAACTTCAAGTATAGCTGGCGATATTTTTTTATCCATAAGATAAAAAAAAATTTTATCTTGAAAGAAATGAACTAAAATAATTGGTACTTCCTTTGTATTTAATAACCTACTAATACGATCAATTGAATCTTTACCTAACTTACCTAATTTTATTTTATCTTCATCTATGTGGGGTTCAGAATCCTTATGAAATGGCCCATATGACACTTTAACAAAAAAAATTTCATACAAAATTTTATCACTACCAGTAAAGTATCCAATCACATCACCAAATTTTCGAACTCCACGATCTTTGGCTGAAAGACTTTGAGCTTGATCCCAACGTTTAAAAATATTTGGAGAAATAAAATTAACAATAGAAGATAGGATATTATGAGTAAAAGTTGATTTATTTATTAGGCTCAATCTTTCTTGATAATATTGATTCATCCATATTCTCTTGATATCATGAACTAATCATTTGCCGTCTTTTATTTCTTCATTTTCACCTTCGTCTAACCAAAGTTTAACCTCTTTTTGACTGAACATTATTTCTTTAACTGGTAAATCTATTGTATTTATTTGTTTCCACTCTTCAAAATCTTCAAGATTTTTTAACAAACTGGGTTTTAGACTTATAATATTTTCAGTGTATATTATATCACGAAAATTTTACTCATAATTATTCA